TGCTCCGACTTTCCCAGGATTTCATTCGACTGCCGCATCATGAAACTCTAAATTTACACTTAACCTTAGCGTGGGGGTCAGCAGATCTATTGTGGGGTAGCATGATGATCCTTGAGACCGAGGTTCTTTCCATCTCTCTCAACCAAAGTCACATTACCTTCCTCCAAATAGTGACTGTGATGTCCATCCACTCCACTCTTACGAATATTCCGCGTGCTCAACGGACGCGGGGTATCATATTTGTATAGGGAAAGTGGCCCCCGAGATATCCATCCATATTTGAGCTACAAATATTGGGAATTTGTTCGAGTAGTGCTGAATTATAATTTGTTGAGATGCTTTCTGATCAGACCTTTCACTGTGGCATATTTGTACGTAAGTCATGAATAAGATCTGGGATATGGATAGTTCCTATTTCAGTCTATCGAAGCTAATCAAGATTCACACTTACTCTTTTTTGTATTTAAAATGTTGTCCCTTCAATTTATCCATTCTCATCCTTACATTCTCTAGTCGACCATCAATTTAAAACTATACTCTCTCGCCATTGTGCAAAATCTCGAACTCTGAACACAACTGAAAAATGACTGCCTCACACTCCTACACGAACGGCAATGGCTTTGCAAGTGGGCATCGTACATTGGTACCAGGAATCTATGTTCCTACTGTTGCATTCTTCCATCCAGAATCTGAAGAAGTCGACATCTCAACAGTCGCCAAACACGCTTCCAGACTTGCCACTTCTGGAATTGCAGGCCTTGTTGTCCACGGCTCAAATGGAGAAGCAGTTCATCTCACACATTCCGAACGCTCGCTCATCACCTCAACTACACGCGAAGCTCTTGACAAAGCAGGTGCCTCGTCCATGCCCGTTATCGTAGGCTGTGGTACCCAATCAGTTAAGGAAACACTCGAACTGTGTAGAGAAGCTAAAGAGTCAGGTGGAGACTATGCAATTGTTCTTCCACCCAGTTATTACGCATCACTCTTGAACCCACAACTGATATTGGATTTCTTCACACAAGTTGCGGATGCAAGTCCAATCCCCATTATCATATACAACTATCCTGCCGCACAAGGAGGGCTTGATCTTAGTTCCGACGTCATACTTACACTTTCTGCTCATTTAAATATTGTGGGTGTAAAACTCACATGTGGAAATACCGGAAAGTTGGCACGAATCGCCGCATCTGCCAAACCATCCTTCCTGACCACTGGCGGTTCTGCAGATTTCATTTTGCAAACCATGGTAGTAGGAGGTGATGGAGTCATAGCTGGATTGGCAAATTTAGCACCAAAAGCTTGTGTAAAAGTCATGAGATTATTCAGAGAAGGAAAGCTAGAAGAGGCGAAAGAGCTGCAAGCAATTGTTGCAAGAGGAGATTGGGTGGCTATCAAGGGGGGTTTCGTTAGTGTGAAAGTTGCATTGGAGAAGTATTACGGATATGGTGGACTACCTAGGAAACCATGTGCACTGCCTGAGAAGAAAGCATTGGCAGCAATGAATGAAGAGTTTTCAGAATTGCTTGAGTTAGAGAAAACTCTTTAGACCGATTGAGTTGAATAAATGGAATAGGAAACATTTTTAAAGCACTTTCGTTTCAAATAGCTTAATATGTGAAAGAACAACATCTTGACTTGTCTAGCGATTTGGTGAGAACACAGAACATCAAAATGCAAAGCACTAGAGGCCTTTCTCATATTATTTGAAATTCTACTATAGATCATATCCTTATATTCAGCTTCCTTCTTACTTGCGAGCCTGTCGTCTTTAGATGATCATGATCAAAATTCAAGTCACATACTCCCTGGAGGTTAGCATCCAAGTTACCTCCTGGAAATAAGATTGTCATTAATTAGGATTGATAACGCCATATTCATTGAAAGCTCTACAAGATATTTCAATCTTACGCCACTTTTGCCTCCGTATATTTAGAATATGGTAGTGTGGGGGTGCAAAGCCAGTTTCACAATTACATGACTACTTAGTTCGGATTATGGCGAGAGTGTACAACTGAAGAACAGCTTTGTAACCGAGTGGCAACTAGGTACGTAGTCGAATCTTGAGAAGACCATCGAGCGTCGTGAGTGTATTCGTTTACAGCGGATGAAAGAGCTAGAGACGTGGCAAAATGGTGAGAGGTGACCTGCCTGACCACCAAAGTTTTATCTTTTTCCTTCTGTTGTCGTCAAAAGAGTGATTGTCATGACTCGCACATTATCTACAGGCTCGATGATTCGAGCTGTTAAGAATACAGTCAGAAAAGTTTTGATAGTGTAGAAGAAAAAAATGAGAAGATGGTGTGATGGTATCGCAGATGTGGGGTGCGGGGTATGTCCCTATATGTAATCTGGTAATGTGCCGGGATCCGCGATTAATAGCTAAAAAATACTGTTACATCTGGAAAGAACAAGCCTATTCTCTCCTAAGCCTAGTCATGTTCGCCAACGCGGCAATATCGGGAATGCGAGTGATCCACTTTGTTAATTTTACCGATTGTTACTTCGGAGGTCACCCTCGGTTAGGCGAGTTTGTAGCTATGTATCGGGAAGGAGAGAATTTTGTTCGTATCTCGGTTAGTTTTATTGAATACGGAAGGTTCCAGCATACCCGCCTGTTGGAATTTGTGATGGGGATGACAATACGTGCTAAGCTACGTTGATTCTAAAGATCCACTTCATCTCTTGTCCACCCCCACGCCCGTTCTGTTGACCTAGAGTGGGAGAGGTAATTGAGTTATTTACCTTGCTGGTTTATGTTACTGTATGTATTCCCGAGGTTTCATAAGCAAGCAATGTTTACCTAGGTACATAAGGACCTTGAGAGATATTCATCTGATGTTGATAACAGCGTAGTATTAGAATGTATGTACTTTCTTGGTACTCATAAACTTACTATGAATGCAGGTAGAGTTAGTTGATATCGAGACGAGATTCAGGTAAGAGGATAGAATCAGGGGTTCTCATATACCTAGAAGTCGTTTGATAAGAGTACCTAATTGTAGTCCATACCTTCTTCTAGAATTATCACTTAGCAAAAACTCATGATTTCGGATCGGGCGGTTCTGAGTCTAGAAGTTCATACTGGGGAAGTGGCAGAGAGGAAGATTTGGAAAGTGCTAGATAGGAGCTGTTATATTTCTCATGTTCTTTTCTGGATCTTTTGAGAATGACTCTTGTACAGCCAGTCAAGTAACAGTTACGTCTATCTCTGCATTTGAAAGATACATAAAGACATACGTCTCTTGGACAATCGTCGGGACGCTCCTTGTAAGTGGAAAGCTATAGTAGCTATAGATATACAAAAAAACTAGATTGTGACTCTTGATTAGAAAATACCGGTTTAGTAATTTTCTAGATACTCATTTCAGAGTTTTCATCAATTGGCCTCAAGATACTCCAATCTGATCTACTCATTTTTACTCGACAAGTAGGTCGATCATTTTCAATTGTTTTTATTATAACTTATTCATTATGGTAAACGTTTCTATCTTATTAATTAAAAGTCCCATGAATTGCTGTCTTAATTAGGGAACTTGGACGATGATTTACTTCTTTGAGTGAGTATTGAGGCGTCCAGATTTTGACTAGATAAACGCATCACCCGGTGTATGAATATTATTTAAACTATACAATATATAGACCAATGCTTGATAATATATACTCAATAGAACAAAAAGATTAGTAAAATGCAGCAAACCTTTTTGAGTGACTCCATTTGATATTTCTACTAAGAACTAGTCGTCCGGTAACACGTAGCGGACGAAATAGAGCGCGTTTAGATAGGATTCTAATAGTAATACATAGTGTCTAAGTATCGATATTGACATAGGGAGTCCCAGAGGCAAAGTCAAACAGTCTGAATCTAATTTAAAAACGAATAATCTCATAGGGTTTAGGTATATTCTATTTCGGTGTGTGTTCCATCTTGTGGTTTAAGGTCGCCTCTTCTCCTCGAGGGGCTTAGCGAGATCTCTGAACGAATTCGAATGGCCATGACGCACGGGTTCTTAAAGATTCTCTCGAATGAGATTATGCGGAAGTTTAGAATCCAGATTTGGACATTGTTGTTCAATGGGAGGTTTCTATGAATCTCGCTATGAGAGGATTGATTTGAATTTAAGGGTTGGAGTACAACGTAATGGGATAGATAGGTGATTAAAGAGTAGGGCATAGAACAGGATGTATCAGATAGAATGAGATGGAAAGAAAAAATTCCCGATAACTCGCGAACCAACCTCAAATACATTTCATTCATTCCCACATAATGAACATGAAAATCAAACTCTGAAAAGTAGAAAATAGATGGAAGAGAACAATTAACAGATTTTGAAACGTGAGGCTATAAGTTGATAACAACCCATTTTGATCATTTACAAGAAAGAGAAAATGAAATATCGATCAGAGAAGAGTATTCTCTTTTGCTCTTCTCTTACATCTCCATATTATCTCCTCCTCTTGGATATCTTCTCATCTCAGTTCTTTGGTCTGATGATGTTTTTTGACCATAAGGGGAAATAGGTATTGGTCAAGGAGATACTTGGATATCAAATTCTGGTTACAGTATTTAGTTTACATTCAAATTCTCAAAGAAGTCTCACGATGAAAAAAAAAAGACCCAAGTCATAAGTGAAATTAGATTACAATGATTGTCTTTTAATATCCGGCAATCTCTTTATCTACTTGAGATATAATCACACATGTAACTGTTTCTCAAATCGATGAAATGAAGATATGAAGATGTGTCCAATAACCAGAAAGATTCGTTCCTGTCTTTCCCTTTCTCTCTTATTCTAAATGTTCCAAACCAACTAGAGATAGCGAGAAATAAGGATCATGTGCCTTCAAAGCGAACTTTTGAGAAGAGCAGAAGCCAGCATATCTCCCACCGAATCATGCTCAGTCCTACCAGTTGCATCCTCCTGATCACCATATCCAGATTCCTACAAATCATCTCCAGCAGTAGAATTATAACCCTCCCAGTCAGAAGATCCGAGCAGCTACAAATCATCATCATCGGATTCGCAGCTACAAACAAACTCTTCCTCCGGATAAAGACAATGCCTATTATAATCCGATATTGGGCAGCCCATTTTCTCGAAGTTTAAGAGCTGTACACGGGGAAGCTTCCAATCAGGATTATCTAGAACCCCTTCCTCTGGAAAATTAGCATCATCAAAATTTGGAAGCTCATACCTTTCAATGAAAAATTCTTTCCATATAGGCTTCCACAACTCCCACCTTGCAAATGTCCAATCAACCTTTAGTTGTTGCGATGTTAGCTTTAAACCCCTGTAGTAACGAACCGGCATAACATGATGAGGTAAGAAATCTTCAGAGTCATTATCGCTGTCCTCGCTCGAACTTTGGTCGTCTCCAACATTACCATCATCTGCAACTGTGAAATCATCATCGAGATGTCCACCTGAAATTTCAAAGTGGCCTGAGGCTGTAGCAGCATCATCATCAATATTGCTGACACCCTCAAAGTCTGGCTCCTCCTCCTCTTCCTCCTCCTCCTCCTCCTCCTCCTCCTCCTCCTCCTCCTCCTCCTCCTCAACCTTATCGCAACTTCCATAGATTTCAGTTTCATGCACGATGTCGCCATCCTGTCGTTTCCTGTGCAAAACCGATGTCCCGTCCCTGTGAGCCTTGTTGTCTCGCAAATCCTTGATATCTGATTTACGCAAGAAAAAGCTTACCACGTGAGCATTCGTCAGTTGCTGAATTGAATATCTGATATAAGATTCGAGCCAGTGGTTCCACTCCAGGAACAGGTTATCATAATTGAACGCCAAGTGGGTAATGCGCCTTTTGTCCTCCTCCGATGCCCATTCAAAAGGATTCTTTCTATAAGTGATCTCACTTTTCGCATTGTTCAATCGATTGATGTAAACAAGATCTTTCTCGGGATTGAAGTAAATAGGCCGTTCTAGAAAAGACGAGAAGCAAGACTGATAGTATTTGAGTGCTATCTTTGGAGATATACGGGTAGTGTGTAAGAGAGCAGGAGGGTTTCCATTAGCATGTTGAAATTCGGTCAAAAAGGCACACCGAAAAGTAAGACGGCCGTGGTAGTCTATGATTGGAAAATCATCATAGGCATATCGGTTAATCTTCGTTGCACGACCTGTTCTTATTTGGGTCCCTATGTGTCTCCCATCAGATTTCGGAAGATCTGCTTCAAACTCGATGACTCGGGGTGGAATGGCAACGATGGCGAATTCCCATATCAAAAGCTTGAATTCGTCAGGGAGGGATACAAATTTGGTGAAGATTCTCTCTTCTTCTATTGATCGAACGGTATGCATTGAGGGCGTCGTAGTTTCTTGATTTGACTTATCCATTGAGATTGTAAAATTTGTTCGATAGTTTTGCGCATAAATTAATAGAAGATTTCTCTTACAAAGATTGAAAACGAATAGAACACGTATAGAAAATGTGTAAAGTGCGAAATTTTTTTTTAAGATATAATGGAGCTAAAAGTCTCGTTCGTCATGTATGAGAGCTTGGCAGGCTAGAGAAAAGATCGGCCACTACTTTCGTGAGATGATACCATGAACTTTTCCCTAAACTCCTACTTGTCATCTAAAGTCACATGGAATGCTGGAAGTAGGTACATTTATCAAAAGAAGAAGAATAGAACAACTGCAAATGGCCAAGAATTTTGAACAAGTTCCAAATTAACCCCAAAATTCAACAGGTCTGGCTTGATGGTAATGGTACAACTAAGAACGTAGGATGTTTTAGTACTTCATTTTAGGACATGTGTTCAAAATGTGATATTTGAATCTGATGAATTCTTTACTGATATTGAATATGCCATTTTAGAATGTGTGCATTACACATAGAATCTGGAACTTAAAAATCTAAAGGATCTCTAAGGATTCTCGAAGTAACAGAGAAGCTCGTTTGGAAGGGGAGAGTCTCCTTCGATCATACGATTAAGCATTAGCTTCGATTCTATAATAAGGCTCAACTATACCCAATCAGAAACCTTGAACTACTGTTCATCAAATTGCTCAAGCTTGAATGACTTCACAGGATTTAGAACTCAATCTGACTTTCGATGTTGTGGACCACGTCCTGAAACTCTTTTACTGCTGCTCTTGGCTCGTCATGCTAGAATGGCGTTTCAGGCAAACTCCCTTGAACCCAATCCATTGTGGAAACCAGCAACATATTCAAAGACTAGATTATACATAGCAGCAATCGAGTCTATCCAAATATCAAAAACTCTATCATCTTAAAACAACAAAGCAGATCGATTGAATTCTAGTTGAGTAGTTTCAATACAAAACCGTATATAACAACCATCACCTACCCTAACAGCCCGCCGAACCACCCCGCAAACAAAAACAATAAAAATTGAAAAGTGGAAAACTCCATGGTGTACTATTCTGACTCTAAAAGATCGAGTACTTACTCCGTCTTCCAAGTCCCCAATCTGTTGCAGAATCATACATATACGATGTGCAGATCCGCAGGAACTCCTCAAGAGGAAAGAAAACCATTCAAACCATCGATACACATCACAGCACATACCTATATCGCAGATGACACCCATGAATCACTCAGAAGAGAAAAGAAAAGAAATTTATAATCTCAAACAAAAAGCTCGCGTACACTCAAACTCCTATCTTATAAGGAAGCAAGCTATATCCATATTCGCCATTAATATTAGAGGTATCGTATCATATCCATATATCATCTTCCATTTCATACCCTGTTTAATTCGCCATTCCATCCCGTCCCAAAGAATTCATCGCCACCTGGCCCTCATCCTGATTCTCATTCTCATACTCATACTCACAAGACCAAAGCAACAACTCCCACCATGCCCATAATTCCTGCAACTCCAATCCCCACCCCCGATCTTCCCACACCACTATCCCCAGTCGCACTAGCCGTCGTACTTGCACTTAACGCAGAAGCACTAGCACTCGCCACAACTGTCGTAACCGTAGCCACGACCTCACTGACCGTACTCGCCGCCCGCGTACTAGCACTTCTCGTCGTTCCTGGGATAGTGGTCTCCGTAGTCTTTATTTGAACTTCCGTGCTAACAACTTTATTTCCCCCAATTGAAGTTGTAATTGTCGTCGAGACTGAAATCGTCTGCTGAGAAATACTTTCCGAGACAGTAGTCGCGGGAATCGTAGTAGCAGGAATAGTACTGGCAGGAAGCGTCGTCGTGTAAGTAACTGTGACTCCACCTAAAACCGATGCGGGAATAGCGCTACCTACTCCACTAGCAGTGAATTGGGATGGCATAGGGAGGGTAGCGGTATTGGGCTTGGCGGCGCTGTTGCTACTGTAGATATTTCCTGTTGTTCCATCTTTATCTGTATAATCTCCCGATTCCAAATTGGCGGTAGCACCCGAAGAAGAACTATATGACCCTCCTACTACAGTTCCATAACTGTCATCTGGAAGATAATAATTGGTTGTGAATTGATCGTAGCAAAAAGGGATGTTTAGAGAGTGCATGGTGAGACATGTTAAAGAAGAAACGCAGCATAATGAAGCCGAGTCGCGTTTTTCAATAATATGCTCTGAGGATGAAGAAAGCGATCGTTTGCTTGCAGGTAGAGAGGAGAGAACGATATCTTGGAATAGATTCACGAAATCTGAATCGCCGATTTGTGGGGTAGTGGCAGTAGTCGCCCCAGCCGGAGAACAAAGGGTGTATCCTTGTTGACACTCACCACGAGACTTGAGAGCGGATGCTGCCGCCAATGCTGCAGGCGCAATAAATGCGATCAGAAGTTGATGGCGCATCTTGTTTGTATGTATAAGTCGTCGTGATTAGGGGTGTATCAAATATATGATGTACAACCTGAGGTTTGTATGTATGTACTGGGTTTGGAGTAGATATTAAAGTAAATAATTTGAAGTAGAAGTAAAACACCTTAATCCGGAAAGCGAAGTGTTACCTGCAAGCAATACAATCAATGAATATAAAAAAAGAGTGGGATAGATTGCAAATTGCCAACAAGACAAATAACGAACGATTGACAGTGAATGTTCTCGCCGACACGTCTGAATTTCCTTCACAATATACAGATGTGCAATGCGACAATGTTTAAAGAGAACAGAAACACAGAAGTATTCGATTCAAGAAAAGAGAAGCAAAATTTTCCGTCAACCAACAGGAAGAAAGCAAGGAGAGTAAAATACTTGGCTGCTCGGGTTGGACAATACCGTGAACTCACTGAATCAAGGATGGCTAGTATAGATAGTACTTGCGTGATCGGGACACGAGACCCGTTCGGCGTTCATAGGCCGTCGATTTGCGTGTGCCTTGCAGAGGGTCTTGCATTGTGCAGATAGATGGAATTTGTATGGACGAGAGGAAAGAAGAGAAAAAAAAGAAGGACAATATTTACGGTCACATTGTTGAGGGTTTCACTTAGCTGGTTGGATGATGTTGATTTGCTTAGTCATGTGAGGTTAGCGTGTGTTGATTAGGTAACTAGTGGATTAAGGTTATTTTAAGGCTCGAGGTCTAATAATTGTGAATTCAAAGCGCTTCACAAGCGTCGGATATTTCTTGATTATCACTCGCACCTCCTCGGTAGGTACCAGGTCGGTAGGTACATCGGAAAGTATTTGGCGATATCTAATGAGTACTACCTACCAAGATCTAATTATAAAATCTCCTTCAATCAAATCTCAACTATTCGCTTCCTCTTATTAAAGTATGAAGTATAACCTCATCAACCCTCCTCCTCATCACCTCAAACCAACATCCCACCAAAGCAAGCCCCGATTGACCCACAACCGACCCATCTGGTCCCAGCACTCACTATCCACCCCTCCTTCTGCTTCTCATCGTCTATGGCCGTTTTATCCGTTGCACGTCAATCATCAAAGTGTCTGAGCATTATTGAAAGTTAAAATCCCTCCGAGAACTTTCGACGAACCGGTCTACGTTAGGGGTCGGAGCGCAACCATTATCAATCTTGCAATCTAGACAGTTCTGTGAGGACCTCGGGAATGTTCATTATCTGACCGCACCGCCACAGAACAGCCATCTGCTCGCCGAATAATTCCCTTTCGGGTATTGCTGCACCGGGAACCTCTTCAAGAGAATTGGGAAGTGATGTCAAAATGTAAATGTAAGAAAGAAAGGTCTAGGGAGTACGTTTCTAGCTTCGTTGATTTCTAACGTTTGCTATCTCATTCTTGTGCCCCCTACCCCTCTCTGCCAAGTCAATCCAATGTCAAAAGCTTACTCAGTTGATCCCTCACACTTCGTGCTCCCATCAATCATGAAAATAAAAGTTATAAAACAAGAAAGCGTGGGTATACATAAGTCTCATCTATTCTTATAATCTTCGTTGCTCGTCACTTCTTTCTCTTCTTTATTCATCCACTGCCCCTCCATATCTATATCCGTTTCCCCAACTCCGCTCACTCTTTCTCACAATGCTACCACCGCCAAACTCCCTTATCTCATTCAATCATTCCACAACAATAGGTAATATCCTCAGGCTAAATCCAATTACACAATAAGCTCCCCAGTCCGCTCCAATAGATTTTCTTTACTTGAATCTCCACTAGGGTTTATTCATTTATTTCTGTCCTGAGAAAAACCATGAACTTCTCTTTGTGTTCCCGGTGCTTCCTGTGTCCGAGTTTTGCAAGTTTCCGATGATTGGAATTTGCGCATCACCACCACCGCCTCTCAGTGGTTTGGCAATTCGGCTTCCGGCGCCACCAAAGCTAAATCCACCCGTAGGTGAGCCTAGTCCACGGGTACTGCCTGCCTTGGCAGCTTCGAGACGTTCTTTTACCGCTGAAAGTTGAGCTTCAAATCTAAGGTAATTGTTAGTAATGCTATTGATGTACAACTGAAAGCAATCGGAAAGGAAGGCGGAAGTAAAGAGGGAATTCGAACCTGTGACTGGCAGTAGTCAATTTCTCTTGCGAATCTTGTAACAGACTCTCCAAACTCTGAATACGTTCATTCCTTGCAATCAACTTCCTCTCAGCAATCGCAACTTCCTTCTTCAAGCTGCCATTTTGTTCAACCAATTGTCTCTGAACATGAGTCAATTGCTCTAGATTTCTCTCCAAGAAAGCCATCTTCTTCTGTTGAGCTCTGTTGTTAGACGAACGAAGAACGTTGTTATATTGCTCGCGAGTCTCATCGAGGGAGATTTCTAGTTCAACAACTCGTTCACAACGATTTTGCAAGTCCCGCATCAAACTCTTCTTCATCACGTCGAATTCGGCGATCTGTTGTTGAACAGTCTTGCCGCTTGCTGAGCCTGGTGCTGTACCATTGGATGAACTGCCTGACTTAACTCTTTGTTGCAAGTCTTCATTTACAGCCTTGAAC